TGCCTTCCGACAACTCTTCTCTGTCAAACTCCTCCATGTTTGCTTGAAAAAAACTTCTTTCTTCTTGCTTGACTTATATGCTCTCCTGTCGTCAATGGTAGAATTACGCAACAGCGCCCCCGGCTTGAATGGTAGAAATGCTGTAATGCTTTCCCGGCCTAAATGGGTTAAGTATGCCTGTAGTGACAGTGGAGAGGAAAAACTCCCTTTAAACAGGAAGAAACCAAAGGCGGTACCTTACAGGAAACACCCAGTCAGGCAGACGAGCTCCAGGACTACACTGAAAAACAGGCAGATCTCCAACATCTATAAACAAAGATGTTGATGGCAGCAGCACAGCTGATATTTCTCTCCAGGATGGAGTCACAGCCAAAAAGCAGAGAGAGCAGAAAGTTAGAGATTGAACTAACAGATTCTGCAGAGTTGGAGGAGGATGAATATTCCCTAAATTTTAGAATAAAGTTGCTGAATTCAAATGCATGCTAACCTTTGATCTACTAAGCATCTCAGAAGGAGGCATCCTTCCTAAAAGATGCTCCCAGGTCACACATGTTCCTCATTACGCAGTTGCGCTGCAGTTTGAATGTGCTTATTGTAAGATACCAGCTTTCCGCAGCTGCGTACCAGAATACATCTCTCCAAGTTTACACATATGCAAACACACAGACACACTGTAGTTGTGATGTAAATAAGCCCATTGTGAGGCACGCATCCAAACATGCTGCCTCAGACACTGAGGGGAGTTTTGTTTTCCTTCTGCAGGGTAAAAAGATCCTGTTGTCTCATGCTGGTGGCAGACTCCTGGAGGTTTGGTTACCTGGCCTCTCAATGACTCTGTGCATAAAATTGAAATAAGGGTTATAGGATGGCCCCGAGGGTTACCTGAAGGAATTCATTAACTTTGACACATGCAGATGAAAACCATATCCTGGTAGAACATGCTATGGTGAGAAGGTTTCATGCAGTCAGAGTAAACCTTTAACCTAAGAGCAGCCAAAGTTCACGTTGCAATAAAGATAAAATGAGTTTTAACGTTGCGTCCTCTTATCTCTCTCCTCTTCTTTGGAGGATTTTGTTTGTCTTTCTTGTCGTCTGAGTATTCCCAGTTTCCACCAACTTTCTCTGATTTGCTTCAAATAATTAAACTTTAAAAATGACGATTATCTGCTTATGTGCGATGCCTTGTTGTGATTATGCTAGGCTTCACTTAAATGCACCCTGCTACTGCAGTCATGTTTGGGGCTGAGCCATGACCTCTGGCGGGATTACTCTGTTTTAAGCCGCTCTGGAAAGCAAACAAGGTTTCTTTTGTTTGAATCTTTCCAGGGTTCTTAGACTGAATCCCTCACAGCGCATCGCAGCGACTTCCACTATATTTGAGACTCTGCATATGTTTCTTATTTCCCCAACTCTCCTAATTATACATCGTGATGAAGGAGATCCTTCTTTTTCTAAAACTACAGCCTCTAAGCGATGATCTGTGAAACAGGATAAAACAGTTTCCAGGTGCTGGATAAGAGGCCTTTCTTTAATGGCAACCTTGCCTCCATTCTGATTTGACCCAGCAGGTGCGCTCTTTTGTGAAAAGCTAACATTTGCATATTTGACCTGGTTCAGCTTGTGCTAATGTCATTTTCTATCCTCCTTTCTATCCTTCGTTGGACTGATGGTGAATTCTGAGCCATTTTTAGGATAGTTTTCCTTACTTGTTGGTTTGTATCAGTTTGGTGGTGTTTACTGTCTGATCTGTCTGACTATTTATAGGCTAGAGAGAAAAGAGTGTCATATTGCGGAGGTGGTGGCCTAGTGGTTAGGGTATATAGCATGGAATCCAGAGGTTCTTAGTTCGAGCCCCACTCCCACAGACTGCCACTCTGGATCCCTGAGCAGGACCCTTAACCCCACACTGCTCCCTAGGCGCCACTCAATGGCAGCCCACTGCTGCCCAAGGGGATGGGTTAAATGCAGAGAGTGAGTTTCTTTGCTGTGTACTTGTGACAGTGTAATGAGAATAAAAAATATATC